GATCCTGGAACATGCTGAAACTAGGTAATAAGTCTCCTAATGGAATAAACGACTATCCAAAGATCAAAGTGACAGTAACCAGACCAGCCAAGCAGAGTCCTGCCTTCTTTTAGTTTTACTTTAAACTCAGAATCCTCTAATAAAAGGCCAAGTGGTCACCGCCATGGCAGAGGCAATCCAGAGTACCTTAATGTGGAAACATCAGGAGCAATCAGTAACAGAGAAGACTTCTGAAGATAGTGGCAAGGATGTGAGGCATCCCCATTGTACTGTGGAAGAGGGTGTTCAAAGAGAAGAGTGAGAGAAATACTGAAGATTACTGGTAGCGAGCTCTGGTGGCCTAGTGGCAAGAAGCTGCACTGCAATCTCAGAGGTACACGGTTCAAATCCACCAGATGCTCTGCTGGAGAAGGAGGAACAATCTCCTCCTGTATCAGTCAGATCTGATTTGACGGTACACACAAAAAATAACGAAATAAAATAAAATTTAAAAAAAAAAAAAAGATTACTGGAGTGACTGAAAGGAGGTGGTCATGGAAACTGTGTTCCTCCTAAAACCTCAAACCATCATAGTTATCAAAGAAGTCAGATGGACATGCTAAAGACCAGAGGCTGGGGGATGAGCAACATCATGGAATTAGAACAACTCAGTTTGTTCCAAAACAACATAAAATTGTTGAAATAAGGGGACCTCTATGTTCAACGAGAAGTGAAAAGAGATACTCAATAGGGAAATTTTCTGATACTGAGAAGACAGTTGGAATTAGAGTTGAAAATGAAGGAAGGAGAGGACATCAGCTGGAGGCTGACATGTATGAAGAAGTTATCAGCCCAGCTCTGCCTGGGCAGCGGAAGCAATGGTTTATTCAGAGGAAAATGTCAGTCCTTGAGACACAAGAAAAGAATTACTCAGGCAGAGATAGAGAGCAACAGATGAGCTCCTTGAACTTACAGAGAACATGGAAAAAGAAATCAGTGATGCCCTCGGCCATGGCTTTCGACTGTGTATCACTCATGGTGACATCCAGACCTTAGGAAACTGTCATTAGTTCAACAATGAAGTCATTAATTTTTACATGAATCTTCTTATGGAAAGAAATCAAAAGCAAGGCTATCTAGCACTTCATGCATTTAGTACTTTCTTCTACCCTAAATTAAGGTCTGGGGGTTACCAAGTAGTGAAAAGATGGATCAAAGGGATAAATCTCTTTGACCAAGAACTTATTCTGGTGCCTATTTATCGGAAGACCTTTGATGAGATGGATCGATTCTGTGACTAGAGAGGTGGGAATAAGTGCATTTGAGATGGCTAGGTTGGCACAGGATAGAAGAGTGTATAGAGCTCTTGTACATAGGGTTGCTATGAGTCACAAACAACTCGATGGCACATAACAACAACAACAACACTAGTTACAGACCTATGAGAAAAGTATCTTACCTATTTGGATTCTATGGGACAGAAAGGCCACAGGATCTGTGAGATCCTCCTTCAATATTTACAGGATGAAAGTAAAACCAAAAGAAATCTAAACCTTTTAGAATGGACCATTACAAGATGAAGCCACACGAAATTCCTTTAACAGGTGAATGGACGTGATTGTGAAATGTTTACTTGTAAATATGCAGATTTTAACTCTTGAGACAAACCTGTAACATTTACTCAGTGCCAGATGCCTCTCTTCCAGAAGATGGTGTGGAAAATCTTTCATCAGCAACTGCTGTGAAATGCCGTCTGCCCCTCTAGTTGCTGCTGGTTCTTTCCTGGACGGTCCCATATACCTCATGCAACGTGGGTTTAAAAGTCCCTGCATCACATCTGTTCTTTCAGGTACTGAGCTGTCCAAATGCATGGAGGCTCCTGCCTGCATCTTAGTCTGACTTGCAGTGGGCTGCTTGCAACCCTGTTTGTAAGGGCTGTGCCTGCTCAGAGTCCTGGACTGTTCAACCCACAAAAGAACAAATGCTAAATAAATATATTTTGGTATTTTTTTTAAAAAAAGAAAAAGAGCTGGACAATGACTAGGGATGATAGAAGGAGAATTGATGCCTGTGAGCTGTGGTGCTGGAGAAGAGTATTGAATATACCATGGACTGCCAGGAGAACGAACAGATTCGTTCTGGAGAGGGTTAAACCAGGCTGCTCCTTGGAGGCAAGGATCCTGAACCTTCATCTGACATACTTTGGACATGTTGCAAGGAGGGAATAGTCCTTGAAGAGGGATATCATGGTTGGAAGGGTGGAGGGACAGGGCAAAAGAGGAAAACCCTCAATGACATGGAATGATTCAGTGACTGGGATAATAGGGTAAAGTGTGTCAGAGACAAAAAGATTGGCACAGTAGAGAGCAGGATATAGGGCTCTTGTACATAGGGTCACTATGAATTGTAAGCAACTAACAACAACAGTGCTTGTAGATTATCTTACTCTAACTTAATCTGTTGTTGACAGGGTCACTATGAGTCAGTCATTGACAGGACAACACCTAACAATAGCAACAAAAACTTCATCAGAGTACATTTGTGTTCCATCAGGTTTGCTTCTATGTTTAATATGTACTTTTTGTAATGCAGAAGTACAGTAAAATCTGTGAGAGTGGAATCTGTGTTTGTCAGAAAGAAAACTGAAATTTCCCATAAAACAACTGGTAGAAAAGTAGAGAGACTATATGTACCATGTCTAGGACTGAAAACTTACAAGACCCTGAAATAGTAGGCTGTCACATCTAGTTGCAGGTCTCTCCCATTCAGTGTATCATAACAGGAAAGGACTGAAGTTGTCAACAATATAATTTTACTTGGATTCACTATTGATATCCATGGTAATAGCAGTCAAGAAACCAAAAAGGTACTATACAAAGTCTGCTGTCAAGGATTTCTCCAAAGTGCCAAAGAGAAATAATATCAGTTTTGAGACTAAGGTCTGATCCAAACTATAGCATTTTCAATTGCTTCTTATGCATGTAAAAGATCAACAACAAATAAGGATGACTAAAGAATACCTTGAATTCATACTTCAAATTTTGGTGTTGAAGAGCTCTTTTTTTTTTTTTACTTTATTATTTTTGTGTGCGTGTACCGTCAAATCAGATCTGACTGCCCCTCCTTCCCCGGCAGAGCATCTGGTGGATTCGAACCGTGCACCTCTGGGATTGCAGTTGCACCTTCTTGCCACTAGGCCACCAGAGCTCCCCTTGGAGAAGAGTTCTTAATAGCTAATGGACTGTTAATTAAATGGGTGAAATTTGATGGACACCCAAAAGAATAAGTCCCTCTTGGAAGCAGTGCAACTAGATTGCTCCTTATAGAAAATGTCATCTCACATACTTTGAGCATATTCTCAGGAGGGGCCAGTCCTTAGAAAAAGATATCATGCTTGGAAAGATGGAGATTTGGAGAAAGAGCAAAATCATCAACAAGATTTATTCATATATTACCAAAGGGATCAAATATGTGGGAGATCGTGAAGATGGTGCAAGACAGAGCAAGGTTCCGATCTGTCGTTCACAGGGTCACTATTAGTCCATTCTATGATACATAACAACAGGACAAACAAGAATCCATTCATATGTGCATGTTGTTGTGTTATGTAATTCAAAGTGACTGTATGGAAAATGGCTCTGATCCTTGCGATATCCTGAGCCAACCTCACCATCTCTGACATTCCTGACTGTAGTCACTGTGTCATTCCATCTGGTCCAGGGTCTTCCTCTCCTGTGCTGGCCCTCTACCCTTCCAAGCATAATGTCCTTTCTCCAAGGAATGGCAAAAAGCCCAACGTCAAACAAAGCTTCAAGATTTTGCCTGCAAGGGTGCTCTGGTAAGTGGCAAGAAGCTGCACTGCAACCCAAGAGGCGCTCTGCTGGAGGAGATTCCTTCTGTACCAGTCAGATCCAATTTGATCTCTCTCTCTCACACACACACAGTAAAATAGAATAAAAAAATTAAAAAATATTTTGCAAGGAACAACTTGGTTTTACCCTCACTCGGACAGATCTGTTTGTTCTCTTGCGAGCACCTGGTATGTTTCGCCAGCATCACAACTCAAAGGCATCTATTCTTGTCCTGTCATCCTTGTCCAAGGGGCCAATGAGCTGCGGCACCCAGACATATGTATGGGTACATATTCTTTGAAAACACATTCATTCAACCCGTAACAATCACTAAATAAGTATATTTCCCCCCCAATTAATTTGTATTTCCTAGGGAGGTCTGGTGTCTTGGTGGTAAAGAATGGGTCTGCCAACATAAAGGTAGGTACACTGTCCCAATCCACCAGCTGCTCTGCCAGAGAAAGATGGGCAATCTCCTTCCCTGCAGTTTACTGCATCTGAAAACCCGCTGGTGGAGGGTCAGCTACAAGTTGGTTCCAACTCGATGGCACACAGCAACAGCAACATATCCTTATCAGGTTCGTCTTCTGTTGTGTGTACTCGTGAGTGATGTAGTGGAGGGGATTCTCAGGCTAGGGCGTATCTGTCCAGTGGATTCTCTGAAGTTCTGCACCAACCCAATGCTAATGAATGGATTCCAACTCACTACAGTCAAACACCTGTCTGCTCCAAAGTTTCTGACGCTATAAATCTTCAATTCATCCCAGCTGACTGTTCCCTCTTTATCCCCTGCCACCCCACCCCACCCCACCCCCGAAGACTGGTAAGTTCAGGGGTACTGAAGCCAGCTCTTAGGTGAGCATTCCAAGGCTTAACTGAAGTGCTGTAAAAGGCCAACAAAATGAAATGGAAGTGTCTACATCAGCTCTGCCGAAAGCCATCGATAGTTGGTCGAAAAACAAAGATCTGTGGTCGGCAGTACACAAAGTGAACCAAAAAGAAACAGAAGGATGAAAGATGGAAGTATCAAAGACGACAGGTCCTAAGGCTTAGGACACCTGAAGGCAGACAAGTGTGGATTCACCTAGTAGGCGAACACAGAGCTAGGAAACAACTGAGGGAAACGGGAAAGTCGTCGCAAAAGGACCTGAAAGGTTTGTCTGCACTCACCACCTCCCCTTGCTCCGTAGACTTGTACACTCCAGACACAATCTCATTATGGAGAAGCAAAAACAACGCCTCGTCCGCCATTTCCTCCTTACTCTTCAAAGATCTCAGTTTCTGCTCTCGGTTGGACCGGACCTGGAGGTTCCGGCTGGGGCCAGAGCCTCTTGGTCAGCACCGCAGCTCCTTTCCGCTGCCGTGTCCGCCGTTGCTAGGAGACTAAGAAAATTCCCTGGGTTTCTTCAAGGCCCTGAGTGGGGGGAATCCAGTAAACTCCCAGCGATAGGAACGACTCTAGCTGAACTATATAGTCGGATAACCACAGGAATGAAAAGGCTTTAGTGGTGTCAAGATCAGACCCCAGAGTGGGAGGAAGCGGGATGGGGAACACTTGAAACAACTTCCGGTTCCCTCTGTCCCGGAACTCCGCCAGCTCCCGGATCGTTCGAGTTCCGGAGTTCCGTCCTGGGGGCCTAGGATGTTGATGTTCTTATGTGCCCTAGGGTCGCTTGCTACTCATAGCCACCTTATGTACAACAGCCTTAAACCCTTCTATATCCCGTGCCAATCTTATTGTCTCTGACACACTTACCCCGTTATCCCAGTCACTGTATCAATCTATCTCATCGAGGGTCCTCTCTTGTGCTGTTCCTACACCCTTCCAAGCATGATGCCCCTCTCCAAGGTCTGGTCCCTTCTTGCAACATGCCCAAAATATGTCAGATGGAGCTTCAGAATCCTTGCCTCCGAGGAACAGCCTAGCCTCACCCTCCATAGGAGGAAACGGTTTGTTTTCCTAGCAGTCCACGGTACATTCAATACCCTTCTGCTGCACCACAGCTCAAAGGCATCAAGTCTCCCGTGATCCCAAGTCATTGTTCAGCTTTCTGACGCATAGCAAGTAATTGCAAAGACCATAGCAACTAATTGCAAAGCCTTGTTCTGGCGCACCTTAGTTGTTCTTCAGTATTTTGGAAAGGTCTCTGGCAGCCGACTTTCCCATTGCAATTGGTCTTTTCATTTCCTGGCTGCTGGTACCACGAGATGGCTGGGATGATCAGCAGGCAATTAGCAAGTTTCTTTCCTCGCCTGATTGTAAGTGTCCAGAATAAAATCAACGCTAAGGATTTCCTTCTGCCATCACCTTGTAGTTAACTATAAGGAAAGAATGAAAAAAAATTTCTATTCCTGTCATCCAAAAGCGTCTATTTTTGTCATTCCGCAATATGAAAATCTGTAAAAATAAGCAATAAAACATTGTTTTAAACTGTGATGTTTTAAATTGCTGTTTTTACGACTCTGGTAGCAAACAATGATGGAAACCTTGTCTTTTACTGCCATATAGTAACAATCTCCATTATACTCAGAACTTCACTGTGTACTCACTGTGTCATCATCACCCTTAAGGATCTTTCTATAACTTTTCCAGTATAAGGTATTTTTTCAAGGACTAATCCCTCCTAGCAACACACCCAAACTATGTGACATGAAGTGTCACCATCCTTGCCTTGAAGTAGCACCCTCGTTGCTTTGTAACTTAGTCTACTTAGTCCAAGAAAGATTTGTGCGTGCTTCTGGCCGTCTATGGTATGTATATTCAATACTCTTCACCAACACCACAATTCAGAGGAATCGATTCTAATTCAGGCTTCTTCAGTCTGTCCAACTTTCACACGCAGCAATTGAAAGTATCATGGCTTGGGTCAGGCATATCTCAGTTTGTTAAATTAACATCCTTGCTGTTTAGCACTTTTGTTGTTATATACCATGCCACTGAGCCAATTATCACTCATAGTGACCCTATGACCAATATCTCTGAACAATTATCAATATGCTAAGCGAATCCCACAGTTTTGGACACACCTATTCCATTAATCCAGTCAAACCATGTCATCCAGTGTCTTCCTCTCCTGCACTGTCCCTCCACACTTCCAAGCATAATATCCCTCTACAAGGACTGGTCCTTCCTGGCCATGCACCCAAAATATGTGAAACAGAGCTTAAAAATTATTATTTTTTAAAAAAACATGCTGCTTCTAATTTTGGATTCATTTATTCAACTAACCACATAAATCAAGCATAAGGGGAAAAAATCTATGTAAGCCATTACAGACACAGAGAAACATAATTATTATCTAAGTACTTTTCCAGCATAACTTGAATTTTTGAAACACTAGAGTTTTCCATTTGTAAAATCAGTTCCTTTATATCCAGTTTGGATCTTCACCCTTACTACCAGCATCAAGGGAATTAAAATCCTAGCCCATAAAAAAAAAAAAAAAGTTAAAGTAATTGACCAAGTTACTAAAGGTAATTTCTTAAACAATGCTTACATGTAGTCTTAGAATATTTTTTGAGAATAGAGGGGAACCTATAATTATTGAGCACCTGCTAAGTGTTAAAATACAGCATCCTAATGATCCCCCTGTATAAGCTGGATACGTCCTGTTGAAGCAGGAATAGATTCTATGTTTTTTATTAACTCTAAAATAATTACCCCATAGAAATTTTGCTATATTCAGTGGTTTTTATTTACTCCTGCCACACACACAGGCTTCAGGTACTACCTGTGGTTGTGATTAAGACAACTGAGAACAAACATGCTTGACAATAAAATTAAGTAACCAAGCTTTCCCCAGCATTACTTTGGATTTTTTATATTATTATTATTGTTGTTAGATGTCACTGAGTTGGCTACAACTCACAGTTCCTCTATGAACAACGGACCTGAAATCCTGTCCTACCCTGAGCCAACGTCATCATTTTTGACGCACTTAGTTCATTGCTGCAGTCGCTGTGTTAATCTTCTTCATGATCTTCCTCTCTCACTGAATCTCTACCTTTCCAAGAATGATGTCCTTTTCTAAATAATAGCCTCTCCCAGCAACATGCACAAACAATGTTAGATAAATCTTTGCCATCCTTGTCACCCAGGAAACTCTGGCTGCACTTTTTCCCAACACATATTTATTTGTTCTTTTGGAAATCCATGGAATATTCAGTACTTTCCCCCAACCCCACAATTCAAAGACATCAATTCTATTTTTTTCCTTCTTATTCATTGTCCTGCTCTCAGATGCACAGCAAGTTATTGAAAAGACCAAGGCCTGAATCAGGTGCACTTTAGTCTTCAAACTGACATAATTGCTCTTCAGTTCTTTAGAGAAGTCCTTGATAGCTGACTTTCCCAAATGTGTTACATCTTTCAATTTCTTAATTGCTGGTACCAAGGATTATGGATTTAAGTAAGAGAAAATTGTTGACCATTTCAATCTTTTCTCTATCTATCATGAAGTTTCCAATCAGTCCAGTGGTGAACTTTTACCTTTTTGATGTTGAGATAGAATCCATATTGAAGGCTATTTGTAGTCTTTGAGCTTCTGTAGCAAAGGCTTTCCTCACTTTCATCAAGCAAGGTTGTATGCGGTTTTCTTTGATCTAGATAGCATATTCTTCTTCATAAGAGTCAGCTTCTTAAGTGATTTTTTTTTTCAGCATACAGACTGAGTAGGTATGGAGAAAAGTTACAACTCTGATGTACATTTTCCCTAATTTTAAACCATGTAGTTTGCTCTGTTCACACAACAGCTTCTTGGTGTAAGTACCATTTTATATGAGCATGGACAAAGAGAGAGGGCAGCATGGGGATGGTTGATTCTGATCTATAGTGACTATGCTAAGGGGAACTGTCCACAGTAAAAGCAAACACAACACAAAACTAATTTTCTTTTTTTT